CCCTCCCGCCCGGCGGCTACGGGGTCTGGCAGGAGCGGGCGGCCCGCGACCCAGCCGGGTTCTGGGCAGAGGTGGCGAGGGGGGTGCTACGCTGGGACAGCCCCTTCCATACGGTTTACCAGGCCGGCCAGCCCGGCGCCGCCCGCTGGTTCCTCGGTGGCCGCCTCAACGTCTCGGGTAAGGCGTCCGTCCCCCCCGGGCATCCCCCGCCGCCCTGAGGGCCCGCCCCGCCGGGGGCTGCCCGCTTCTGCCTTCGCGGCCTGCCGAGGGCCTTCCCACTGGGGTAGTTTTCGCCAGCGCTCCTTTTCTGAGGGAAAAACCGAGGAGTTTGGCGGAACGGCGCTGGGAGCGCGTCTGCCGGGTGTTGCGAAGCGGGGATGAACCTGGCTAAGCCTCTCGCCCTGGCTCTGCTTCCCCGGCGGCCGCTCAGCCCTTCTTTGGGGGTACCGTGCAGCAGCCCCGACGTCTGGAGCGCGGCTTCCCCGGTGCCACGCCGGTAGGGATGCCTCGACGCCGGCCGCGCCGGCCTCAAGGCCGGCCGCAGGGTGCCGCTTGGGCCCGCGGTGGGCTCCGCAGCGGCGACGCAAAGGTGAACCGAAGGTGGGGAACGGTGTGAACCCCAGTGCTTTATCGGGGGGAAGCTGCTGCTTCTTTTCTGTCTTAAACAAGGGGCTTGGCCTTTTCCTCCAACTTCACCGTATCTGCCGTGAAGGCTCTTCTGTGCCGTGGCTCTGCTTCATCTGGTGGGAGTAAGCCCCAGCCCCGTTCGGGGTACAACTCGGTGGCAAAGTCTTTTAACAGGGATGTACGTTTCTTACCTTCATTTCCCATTCCTGGGAGAGCACTTGAATTGCCACCGCTTGATCACCGTAACCTCTCTGGCCACCTTTTTTCGCAGCAAAAGAGCAAACCTTCCTCAGGTCTTCCAGAGGACATAGGGAAGCATCTCCTCACAGGAGACAATTCCCAGCAGTGGATCCCAAGTTGATGGAGGTGTGTGTACAGCCCTTCTTCCAGCACCCAGCAATCAGAGGGATTGTAGCCAGACTTCTGTTTTCATTGATTCCTGTCGAAAGGAAGATCTTGGCTGAGCACAGAGACTTTCAGGGACCTGGTTCTTTCCTCTGTAGAGTGGGATCAGCACCTTCTTCTAGATCCCCTGTGGGTCAGGTGTCTGAAGTTCAGATATTGCTGGGCCTGATTTTAGGTCATGTCTTGCGTCTGGCTCTTCAGCAGGCACTAAATGCCACTTAGTTTTCTTTGCATAGGTAAAAAGAAACCATAGACCTCTGAAACACAGATGCACAGAATTAAACAGTTTTGCTATTGATGGTTTTCTTCTTTTAAAGCACAGTCAAGGTGGTACTTGGCCACAGCCGAGTGGCTGGTTTTCTGCTAGGAGGCTCTGGTTTTGTCCCTAGATCTCTTGATTTGAACACTGGTTACAGAAATATGGCAACAGTTCAGGTCCCTGATGCAGAGCAGCCTGTGTGCCCATCTCCCAACACAGCTGGACCACAGGCAACTGAGTCATCTGCTGCTTTTTGCTTGGGGAGACCTTGTGGTAGGATCTGGGGCAATTGCGAGCTTCAGCGCTTCTGGGTTTATTGCACTGTAACTCCTGGCCAGGAGAATAATCCGGCTAACTACTTCACTTCCAACCAGGGCACTGGGTTCTCAGGAGCATGTCTTACCAAAATGAATTGTTTCCAAGCGTTGTTGAGGAGGCAAGAAAACATATGGAGAAACTATTAGGATATAGTAGTAAGGGGAAGCTCACTAAATTCTATTTTGTAAAATGAGCAAAAGGCTCTTGTAAGCCTAAGATCAGGAAGGAAATAATAGCATTTGGCCCTGGTTCACCTGCCAGTTCTTACTGAGCAAAGAGCTAAAGCTCTCACTTGGCTCAGCTGGGGCTCGCTGCAACAGAAATTCCCTCTGAACGCTGGTATGGCTGCTCATGAGTAAGAAGTGCTGCTTGGGCAATGAATCCCCATTAATGTGATTTACTGTAGTGTGGTGCAATGTGTGAGGGTGTTGCTGCAATGAGCTTGGAGGTGGGAGTTGCTAAGGGTCGCAGACCAAGCTGCAGCAGATCCAATTACCTATGGACAGATGGCAGAGGGAACCAGAGTATAACTGCTTAAAGCATTCCCCTTAGAGCTTTTGTCCTCCCATATCATATTAGGGTGGCCTAAGGAATGGCTTTATCTCCTTTATTTTTATAGTACTGCTGCAGAGATTTACATTAAAATATAAAAGACTTTAAACAGCTGAAGAGTGCTTTTTCATATTTTTGAGATTGAGTATTGTTCTTGTAATGAAATATGCTGAATTCTAAGGGATTTGCACCTTTAGGGGCTCATTCCCACCCTCTGTGTAAATCAGCTGTGACCATAAAACAGCCGAAGCTGACTCCCGGGCTGCAGTTTACTTAAACTTCACAAATTGTGACAGCATTAGACAGCTTTCCTTGCACTTAGCTTATCTGGAAAAAATGAAATCCTCCCCCGCCAGTATTAACGTTTCCAGGAAATATGATCTGAAACTCAACAATTTTTTAAGGGTTTTCTCTGAGTTGTATGTACAGCAGTGTGCCTGACTGGTTTTTAATAGTTGTCTATTGGAATAAAGTAACTGCATTTGGAAGATTATAATGAAATAAGTAAGCATAGTTTAGGCTTAGAATTAATACTTTACAAGGTTAATCTCTAACCATCAGGCAAGTTGCTACTGAAGGTGCAGGCAGGTTTCTTGGGTGGATTCTCTATAAGTTTCTTCAGGGTGGGTGCTCTCCCTAAGTCCACTTGAGCATCTCGCGTAGTTGTTCAGGTTTCCTCCACCTCGAGTTGTTGGGGGGAGAGATGCACCTTCAGAAGGTGATTTGGTAAACCTTTACGTTTTAGGAGGTGTAGTACACAGCTTGAGATATATGCTCATCTTTCCCAGATGTCTGGTAATGTGTAGGTGTCTGTACTCTGTGATTTTACCCTAGATCCTAAAGTTTTAGATATTTTCACTTAGCTGAGATTCAGCTCTTCTGTTACACCCTGGAATAAAAGTGTTTCACATGAGCTTTAATTAGAAAATTCAAATGATGCAGTGCTAAAAATGCAAGCTGGGTAAGACAGTCTGTCAGATTTATGTAGTGAAATGCTGCTCTGGGGAGCAAAAATGTCAAAAGAGTGTCTTGTCTTTATGCTGCTGGGAGCAGGGTTGAGATTTGGGCTGGTTTAAGTTTAGCCAGTGGAGCTAAGCTGAGCTGAATCAGCTGAGCGATGCCATTTCTTAAGGCAGCTGTACCAATTAAGTATAGTATTTGCATACTACAGATACAGCAAAGGACAGCTTTACCAGTGCTACAAATGCTGTCATTTTCAGTGTTATAAATGAGCACGTGGCTAGCTAGCGAACAAATGATGTTTCATCTTACGCTAGCTTGCTGTTATGCTTGACCAAGCTGAGTTTACAGAGCACGTTGCATGTGATCAGGCTTTGTTTAAACCTCTGTTTTCTTATAGTAAATTGCTTGGACCAACACGTCGAAAAGTCTCCGAACAGAGTGGCTTTGATTTGGGAGAGAGATGAGCCTGGCACTGCAGTGCATGTCACGTACAGGTATGGCACCTTCTCACAATGCTTTACGATGCCTGGCAATGTGGTGGGGCGGGGAGAAGAGATGCTGCTCTGAAATCGGACCTACGTGAAACTCTGCTTTCTCCCAAGGTGCTCCAGCACACAGGACATGCAGCCGCAGTGCTGCGGCTAGGTTGTGGTGTCATGATGAGACAGCTCCTGAATAACGCAGGCGTGTTACCACCGAGAAATGACATTCTTCCCTTGGGTTCTTCACGGAGAGGGCTCCCTGATCTTAGGCACTTGTATAATAAACATATTACAGGGTGAGAGGTACAGTGGATGTAAGTTACTGATGGCTGCTGAAAATTTCAGATTGAGATCTGGCATCATCTTCTGGTTATGGTGTTAATCAGGCCTGCCTGGCGATTCCCTCTCTACATGGGGGCTTTTAGAAGAGAAAGGCTTGTTTTTTCTCTCTGGCTTATGTTCTCACCTGCCAGTTTTCTTTTTGCTTGTTAGAAGCATTCATGGGAAAATTTCTGTGAGCAGCTTTTGGTTTCAGCACAGCAGCAAATGTCTTGGTGCAAACATCTTGCATTGATGGTCAATGGCATGATACCAAGTCCTGGCTGGAGGGAATGTGAAGCTCCCTGTGTTCCTCTTCCCCATCCTCAGTGCAGTTTAGAGCAACCTTGAGGCTGCTCTGAGTGACGTCGACTTGTAATTTCTGCTATAGATTGTAGGATTTGTTAGAATATGGCAGTTTTCAAGCATATTTCTCTTCTCCCTGCTATGTGCCCTCATTTAGGAGACAGGCCTGCTTGCAAAAATGCCTTTTATATCGTCTGTCTCTCTAGTGAGAGCTAAAGGTTTCCCAGACTTGTACATTCCTCAGTGCCTATTTTAGGGAGCCACATATTTGATCTGTTGGATCTTGGGGAGCCACATGTTTGATCTGCTGGATTGGAAAGTAGAGGAGTCATAGGAAGTCTTGACATCTGACTCTTTTACAAAATGTTTTCTGTACCTTG